GATCATCAACTTAAATGGCATGCAGAAATTATACAATTAAGAATACGAAATCGGAATTTATGAAGTAAAGAACAATTATGATATAAAAGGTATCAAAATTTACAAAAAAAGCAAAGCTTAAATTTATTTATTTATTTTTTACTTTATTAAACATTTCTTTGAATGTAAGTTGGTTAAGATGCTTCCACAAAAAATTCAAAAAGTTCCTTTTTCTTGTGTCATATACAGTGGACTTGTGCAGTCTCTACGGGTCCTAAATTCTGCTACAAAGTGCTTTTCTAAGTTCTAAATTTTCACCGTGCCTAAACTTTGGATCTTAGTGTTTTCCCTAAATCATAAATACTTCTCATCCCTTAATTTTTCCACTCAGTGCTTCCCCAAATTCCAAAAATTTCATCTTCCCTGAATTCTGCTCTCCGATGCCGACATATTCTGCCGCCATTTCTCGGTTTATGGTGAATAACATATCAGTTATTCTTAATTAAAATAGCACTAAATGTAATCTTTTGGCCTATGAGTTTCATTAACAAAATCTATTTTAGCATATGAAAAGAAATTTTTATTGAATTTTTCCTCGTCAACATTTCTTACAGCATTTAAAAATCGATAATCATCGCCAAGTCTAATGTTAACATAAAAGGTTACCATACTCTTGTTATTCAATTACTAATATATAAAAAAAAGTTTAGACATAACTGCATGAGTTATTACTGAAGCTGTCATGTATTGATAAACATGTGGTGATGAAAGCAAAATATAATAAATAATGACTCGTTAGGTCGGTGTCAGGGATATAAAATATTAGTAGTGTAATATCAACGATGTTTCGATGTAGAATGTTTCGGTTTGAGATGTATGCCAAGTAGCCAGAGCCAAATTATTAGTCTCACAAATTTATGCTTACATGATTTTTTTCCACATCGAGGTATTTTATTTAGTGCCCAAGTGAAATTAAGAATCAGAATTTTTTAGTGAAAATCTCCACATGTTTTATTATGGAAGGAAAAATTAATTGCGCATGCATAAAGCATCAATAATAATAAAAAAAAAGGTTTGTGGCTTTGAGGTCTGGATTTTAGATCATTCCGGATAATGGACTTTCGGATTTCGGACTTTGTATTGTATGTATATATATATTAAATTCAATAAAAATTCAGTTTAAATTCATGATATTTTTAAAATTCAGTAAAACATATCTAATTTCATTCTTTTGCTTGATTTGGACATTGAAATGTTTACCCTGCGTTGGGGAGGATTTCACAATTTTCAGATGAACTGTCATAATTAAATACTTTAGAACAGTTATCAGCTAATTTTGGATACAGAAACACAATGGTTTTCAAGTGAAAGAGGGATTATAATTGAGTCTGATGTATCCTCGTCTTAGCACTTTGCGGGTCGCGCATTTATCGAAGCGCCGTTATACTGCTGCCAGTTCACGCAGGTTCTACTGCTCGCCAAGGGTGATATTTATACAATTTTTCGAAACATATGTAGTTGGCATATAATTATTATTAAAGAAAGCAGTAAAATAACTGCTACACTATTTTTATTATATTTTATTCCAATTCTATTTTTTAATTAGTACTAAAACGTTTTATTTAAAAAATTTAACTCCTAGGATCCATAGTTCTTTGTAGAATGATAATTCTGTAAACATTTTCCAACATGCAGAAAAACGTTGCAGGAAGAACACATGTATGCAGTGGAACTTCTTTTCTTTTCGGCAGTGCAGACTTTACAGGCCCTTTCGCGGGTTTTCAATTCTCCCATTACCACTAATACGTGTTATTCTATGTTTTCTCAAGTCTGTAGTAAGTCTGCCTGGTGGATCAAACCTCGGCGATCTTTTATCACATTAAGCAGCTGATCTTGATTGTTGCTCCTGTTCATTCCCATTAACCCCTGCTAGTACAAGGTTTAGTAAAAATTGTTTGAATCTAATAGGATTTTCAGAATTTTTGATGTATATCTGGAATGTGTTGAGTAATGCACAGTTTATGAGATATAAAACCGTTTTTTTTTTTGTCCATTTTTTTGTTTTGTGAAGTATGGAATAACACGATAGGTATTGATCGGCGTAATCAACACCTTACATAAATTTATTATACTCATGTATGCAAATTGGTTTAATGCACTTCTTTTGGTTCTTTTACTCACACATTCGACCACGTCTGTTGAAGTTATCGTAGAAATCATCATTATCAATTTTTTGGCCGAATTCCATTTTTGTACCATAATTTCCCTTTTCCTACGAAATTGCTTGACTTATTTTTCAATGTAGCAGATTTTCAAAACAATTTGGCACTCCTCTGTTTACTCTAATTGTGCCACAGATGTTTGTTTTATGCTTTAGTAACTCCTCTGCAACCTTTACACTATTGTAATAGTTGTCCATATATACATTGTGCCATAAATTTAAATATGGCGATAGCACGGACAATATTGTTCGCAATTAGCGATTTTCCTTGCGCGCAATATATTTCTAAATTGCATATATAACCAGATGTCGCCTCACACACCATACGGACTAAAATTCCATATTTTATAATTTTCGCAGGATTATATGTACGAAAAGATAGCCTGCCCCTCCATGGAATGATACCTTCATCCAGCGATAATTCTTTCTCGGGTTTATAAATTTTTTGAAACTTTTCTACCAGGTACGAGTAAACTGGTTTTATTTTATCAAGCCTTTCTTGGCAATGCTCATTATTACTGAAGTGCCAATACTTCCATAACTGCCGAAATCGGTTCCTTGGCATAGTATTCCCAAAAATAGGTGTATGTAATCCAGGGTGAGTAGACCAATAATCGTCTTGTTCTGGTTTTCTTACTATTCCCATTAGGATAACAAAACCCAAAAGTTTTTTTCATTTCTACAACATTTGTATCAATCCAAGATTTATTCTTTTTGATTCATTATTGTTATCATTATTTGACTGATTATGACACAGTCAAAAGTCGTTAATTCGGACACCCATAATCCGGACCTCAAAGCTACAAACTTTTTACGGCTGCGAATTTGCGTGTGCGCAAAATACATTTACGAATGCGCATTTTAATGTATAATGGATGGGATAAGCTAAGCTAAAATTATCTAATTATCTATTTCAGTTAATGTTGCAGATTGCGTTGTTCCTTAATCTTCGAACTGGATCCGGCTTATTATTTTTTGCAGACTGTTAGAGGAATTTTATAAAAGTAATCTTGAACTTTCGATTATTTCAAATAGAATTTCCGATATATATTTACTAATATGTAAAGGATATACAAAGTGAAAGTATCTTTCAGAGTCCATTAAACAAAAAGTGGAATTGCTGCAAAAAATAGGTAAAGGCATATCCTTTGTTTATCTAAACTTTGTTTATCTTTAACACTGCAGAGCGCAATGAATTGGAAGTTGATCTGTCAACACTATCCTTATCTTAAGGGCAGATGTTTTTATTTTATTTGGCTTATAATCGCTTAGTAAATGTGGTATTTCCTCTCGATGGACTCTGATATGATTTAAATCAAATGCCTCGTCATTACAATTCACTTCCGATAGCGAAGAAAGTAACAGAGGTTATTGAAAATGAAAAAATTTCGATTGACAAATTAGTCGGTATTCTCGACACAGCAATTATATGACTTGAACAGCGGAACTTTGTAACTGAACAAGAAATTATGTCTGTTTATGGAATTAAAGAGAATGTATTATCACATAAAAAACAAAGCAACTTAAACAACTTACATTGAAAGAAATCTTTAATAAAGTAAACAAATAAATATTAAGCTTTTTTTTTTGTTGTAAATTTTGATACCCTTTAGATCATAATTGTTCTTTATTTCGTAAATTATGGTTTCATATTTTTAATTTTATAATTTCTGCATGCCATTTTACCAGATTTAAACTGATGATCTATAATCCGGAATCGCTGAAGTCCCGACGAGTCTGGATTAACGACTTTTGACTGTATAAGTTTGTTTGTGTGGCAAACAAATTAAATAAATCGTCCCCAATGAACACCACAGTTGATAATATATCTGGCGTGTATGGTACTTGTAACCCAAACTGTTCCAGGCAAACATGAAAGTTAGGTTTAAAATGAACTTCTGACCAATCATTTGCTACAGAATTCTCTTCATCACTTTCAGATTCACAAATTATTGGTCTTCCGTTATTTTTTAATCGTCTCACAATTATATCGCTCCCACTGTCCGAATCACTTTCACTATCAGAGCAATTATTCTCTTCTGATAACAGATCAGCATATATTTCCTCATCGAAGAGCATTTTGAAGGATATCTTTAAATCTAACGTAAGTTTCCGATTTTTGAAGGCAGCAAAAGACAGTCTCAAACTAACAAAACAAGCGTCCACGAAAAAAGATTTCAATAATAGGCAGTCTGGTGAATTAGGAGAGGAAAACAGTTGAAACCAATGTTTCCTGATCGTCAAATGTTTTGCTATAGTATGCCTATCTATACATACGTCGATGTGAAGCATCGTTGTTGGCGAAAATAAGTCACGCGTACATGACAGCGGCCGATAACCATTGGCGAGCAAAAGTCATGCCAGCGTGACAGCGGCCCGCAAAGTGTTAATAACATAACAGATTTGACTGAATTCCTTTTCTTTTATATTTTTTCTGGTTTTGGTATATTTTTTCAGATTTTTAAAATTTTTACGTTTTAGTTTCACATTTCTTTTATTCTTATTTTGCATATTTAAACGATATTTTGAAATTTATTGGTATTGAATTTCACTTCTTTTTAGTCTGTGTTAAAACTGGTTCTAAATTTCTCACTTTCTCACTCTCTCTCTATATGTGTGTGTATGTGTGTTATATACATATGGTTTTGCTGATCAAAGGGTTAATGCGGAATATGTTATTTTCCCTTTTGTTATAGCTTTCCTTAAGACTACCTTTTAAAAGATACACTACATTTCACATCAGAAAAATTCATAGAAGACCCAAGAATGAAAAAAGTATAGCATAAAAGGCATGAAACGATAATTCTCTTATTTTTTATATTTACTAATTATAAATACAGATATGCAAAAGGTCTTTTCATGACATATTGAGTCTATCAATCTGAAGTTGAAGAATTCTCCATGAAACCATACTTCCTCTCCCTCCACATTGAGAATGTTTGTTTAAATATGATGGAAAAAGCCATCATAAATATTTAAGTAAATTATAGTTTAAATACTTAAGTTTCATGAAAAGGCCAAAGAATACAGCATTTCATTAGTCATGAAGTACGGCAAGGAAAACAGAACAGAAGCTTGTGATATATATATTCTTCAGCCATAAAGACAATACAAAGAATTTATCATATTAGATATGAGAAATTAATTTGTGCATTTACTCATACTAATACTATTTTTTATAGAAACTGTAGTTATGTTTAGAAACATGACTAGGTATATAAAATATATAAAGAAATAAAATATAAATAAATACTTGTACAAAGTAAGTTCTTGATCTATACAATCAAAATAAGCAAAACTCACATAAAGCATTAATCAGATGTGAATTAGTATAAAACAACTGCAGATTAAACACACACACAAATATTTTTGAAACAAAAATAAAATTATTTTTCACAACACAAAATGATTATTACAACCATATATGATTAGTCCTGATGATAAGATGAAAAAACATAAAACTTATCAATTTGAAACTTTGCAATAGTGCTGGAATGTTGGCAACTGAAAATTTCCCTGCATTTCACTAGAACAGAGTTTTAAAATCAAAAATCTTCTTAATCACTGTATACTTTACTATAAAATAATGATTTCAGTGAATTTTGAACTATAATTTTTTTAATTGAAATTTTGTTATTTTTTAATAGGCTATTTCAAGTCTAAAAATGTACTTTGTAAATATTACATATAAGAAACTGTTGGCAGAATTGCTGACTTAACAGAGAGTACATGTAGTCTAAGTATCATCATACTTTCCTTCTTGGTTTTATACATTATGCATACTTCATTATAATATTCCTTTTCTTTCTTTCTTTTTTTTTTTTTCAGATGCAAAACTCTAAAATCAAATTTAAACATACACGCTTTTTAAACATACAATTAAGATTGACAATTAATTATCTTACAATACAATTGAAGATTAAACTTCAGGAACATCAGATAAAATCAAAATAGATAAATCTTCTATTACATACTTGTGCAGTGTTTGATTAAATTTAAAAGGTTCAAAGGGAAATCTGACAGCAGCCATTTCCATCAGTTATTGTGCAATTACTCTACTTCTTATTAAAAGATGATAAATTATCCATAAATTATGCTTGGATCAATTTAATATCACTAGTATTTTAACATTATAGCTATGATAAAAAATATGCTCCTGGACAATTCTGATCTTTTTGGAGAAAGGAAACTCGCTTTCATGCAAAAACAATTTGTATAACAAAAACACATTAAATTTCATTTTCTTTAGTTCCTTTTAAAATACTTATCGATATAAATCTGTTAACAAACATTTACAAACTGCTTTTATCTCTCTTCAAAAGTTTTCATTAATTATAAGAATTTCTGTAGAATTTAAAAGTTCATTTACAGAAACCCATTAAATAATCAGATTTGTTCGATTTTGTTAAATTTATCTTTGTGCATCATTATATAAAGAAAAACTTGTATTTGCTGCATTTTCTTTGTAAAGCTTAAATAATACAATTTAAACTTTCCAATTTTTTATGCAATTAAATAACAGATTCCATGCAATATGTTAAAAAAAATTCAATTTATAATTTAAGAGTAACAACTGTGAGAAACAATTAATAACTACACATTTGACGAGAAAAAGTTAAAAAGATGAGAGAAATACACCTCTCCAAATGGAGATTTTTCTAAAGTTCACTGTTTATCAGCATATGATACTTTCTCTGTCAATCACATCAAAGCGATTAATGTTAAAATTTTAAGCTCATTAAAACACAACTTATAAGTTGATAATTTAGATCACAGTCTAATAATCGAAATTTTCCCATTATTTATCATTTTCTTAATTTTCCATGCATGTAATTTCCTCCAATGATGTATCTCATTAAATTCGTCACATAAATGCTCATGTAGCTTCAGGTCATCCAGCCATTTGTATTTGTTCAATACTCAACACTTCTGAAAGGTTATTTTTCCAATGTTTTCTTTAAATTAGATAATAAAATCTGAAACAGTTGTTGTTATACAGTTACAAAGATTGCTTATCTACCGCATATACAAAACATATAAATATTCTAAACTATAGAAAATTATGCTGAAAATTAACAGACTAGGAAAATCTGCTTGCTGAAAATGTGCCCAATCATACAGCAATACACCTTCTACAACACAAGATATTTCCAAAAAGTTGTTTACATATATTTTCTTTATTACTGCTACAAAAACTTGAAGTTTAATCAATGAAATATAAATTTCATTTAAATTCACTAAAATTTAAAGTTAGCATGGTAACACATTCTTTGGTCAAATGCATCCCAAATTTATATACAGCTGTTACTGACACACTAGTAGCTAGCACAGACTCAATGCAATACAGAGAAACATTTTAAATGTCAATATCTAGTTATGCTGGACTTACGATTGATGTACCTTCAAATTAAGTAAATTAATTCTTTTTTTATTGTTAATTTCAGTCTTAAATTTCCTTCAGATTTTCAATATTAACTTTCAAAATTCTTGAAACATTTTAAAATTATAGCTGAAATATCAAATTTCAGAAATGTTACTATAGTGGCATGAAGTTAATATGCCTTAAACTATTTTCTTCACTTATTTTTACATAAAAATGATTTAATACTAATAATTATTTCAAATTCAAATGTTGAAATTTTATGAAGTAGTCAAACATACCATTTCATACACTGGCTTTAAAACAATGTTTAAAGTAAGATCATGGCATACAGCTTTGTTAGAATTTGAAATTATTTACCAATCCAATGTAAATTTGAATCCTCATGAATTACATAATTTGTAACAATACTACTGTTACTAATAACAATAATTATCATAATTACATGTGAAGCAAAAATGAGATTCGTTGCATTTTGTAAAGAAACTGAAAACTGCATATAAAACACACATTCCATTATCAAAAAGGTAATTAAATCTGAAATATTGTTCTTTGACAGCAGCGTGAAATTGCAATGTTTGATTAGATATTTACATTCAAATCATTTAAAGACTCTCTATACAATACTTCTGTTAACATTTTTAAAATCAAATATTCCTTTAACATCTTATGAAATGCACAAAATGCCCATTCTCCCCCTTTTTTACTGGAAGAAAAAAGGAAAGAATGTGAAAGAGTGAAATATATTCCTTAACCTAAAACAATAATAATTAAGACCAAGTAATAATTAAAAGTTCAAAAATATCACAAGCAAATACAACAATATAAAGATAACAATGAAAATAAAATTTCTGAAATGAGATTCTTCAAAATTTAAAACATGAGCAATAATATGCAGAACTATTAAATGGCAGACTACAATTATATGCATATAATAAAATATATGCAAGAAAAAGATACATCTTCATATATTATAAATATGCAAGTTTGAAAAAGAAAAATACACTTAATACTATTTTAATGACTTAACTTGAAAGAACTATGGACTATCTATTAAAATGATACTTAACAATTTAAAAATTAAGAAGTTCTATTTTCTAAAATGTGCTTATAACTTACTGTTCAGTTCTCAAGACATCTTACTATAATTTACAAAATAATAGCTTTGCAGGAAAAAGCAACAGTTGAATTTGCACAAAAATATATTCTTGAAATCAAAACACTACACAGTGAAGTTCTATTACATTATTATACCTATTACACTGTTTTACAGTTCTTTAAAGAAAAGACATATTACTTAAGTAGCAGAACAGCCAAGTTTAGTAATACTTAGCATGAACAATAATGTACTTTATGAAATAAGAGAAGGAATGAATGATATCACATGGATATACAATATGAAATAGTTTCAAAGAATTATTAGTGAAAAGTTTCATACATGTACTTAGAAGGAAACTCATTCAGATTAGTTTATCAGAATGAAAATTACATAGATGTGTAATCTGCCATTTAACTGTTTTCATAACATTAATAAGATATACAAATTGTAATTTATTTATCCATTAGTAACTTGATCAGCAATTTTGGTTGGTCTAGGTCCCCTTGATTTTCTAGGCTTATCTAATCTGTGGTCAACAACAGGAACCAAGGGCTGTTTTAAAGCTGGTAGAGTATTAGAACTTCTTTGACGATACTGAACTTCATACCTTAAGATAAAATATTTATTTTACTCAATCACATCTCTAAAAAAATTATTTGTTAGTGCATTGAGATTCACAAATATAAAATTTTAAAAATGATTTTTTTAAATTAAATTTATTTCCAAATGATGCTGCTTGTTAGAAAAAACAGTAAATAAATATCTGTAAACTATCAATGAAATTCATGAAAGAAAGAAAAGGAAAACAAGGAATTGAACTTTTACTTCATCTGCCAGTCAACCAACGAGCATATTTTAAGCTTCTGTATCAGATAAGCAGGAGTGGTAAGAAAAGATTTTTGGTGGTTATATATTATGAAAACAACTAGCTTTATATTACCTTATAACAGTTATTTGGAATACATTAAGTCTTTTTTTAAAACTATTACTTTACAGCATATATTTTTAAAAATTAAGAATAATTGACACATTACAGTACATAAACAGTTATCAACCAGTCTTTAAATGCAGTTGCGTGCAAAATAACGTAAACAAAGAGATAAGATTTTCTTTTCCAAATGTGAAAACAATCCAAATATTATATGCGAATAACACAGATGTAAATTAAAAACTAGAAAGGGGAAATGTAAACAAAACTGAATGACAGGATATATAACCAATAAAATTCAGTAATTAGTACAACGCTTCATCACAAGGCATGCAGATTAAAGGAATTCTGCTGTAATTCTTAATACTTTTTTTTTTTTTTTTTTTGTGTGTGTGTGTGTGTGTGAGAAACAAAGATAAGCGTACCCGTGAACATATCATGAATCTAAAAGAATAAAGTAAAAATTCTAAAAGGCTGGAACTCATGTATGTTGGCAATAAATACTGTATGCTGTTTTGTTACTAGAAGTTTCTAGAAATGCTGTATGTCTTTAAGAAAATGCATTAACCAGGGTTGCCACTCAAACAGGAGAATGAAATTCCCTGACTTTTCCAGGTTTTTTCAGGTGTGTTTCAAGAAAATTCCAGTCTATCCGCGTAATGCATGTACGTTGGCTGTGCCTAAGAGGTAAATTAATTATGGTATTACTTGTATTGTGTAGCAAATTCACTTAATTATTCATTAAATCCCAGGAGGACATTTATTCTTAACTTATTCTTGGTATACTTTGTTTGATAATTTTGTTTAGTTTTCCACTTAAGAAACTTAATAAAATTTAAGATATATATATATTGGATAACAAATGTATGTTTTATTTAATTATTACTCATGATCATCACCAGTTTAACACGAGGCTAATCCGGTTCTTATAAATCACAATGCTAAATAGTTAAGTTAGATTTTAGGTAAATTTAATTTGCGTGAGGTATGTTCTTAAAAGGCACCTTAACACTTGAAAACACAAATATAATTATAATAGTTGTTGTTTTCTCCACTGAAGATTGAGATTAGAATCTTCCCAATCTGGAATAAAATAAGGCTTTTTTTGCAGACATTCTGCAGCTAAACGAAAGAAAGAAATCTATTTTAATAAATTGAGGTATTTTATATTTATTTTGCAGCATACATAAGGAAGAAATATGTGCATTAAATTTCGTGATGGTATGTCATCATACTGCTATAATTAATTTCAGGATTATGCCAGAGAAAATTTCCTGAAATTTGGAAATATTATTTACTAATGATAAATAAATTTAGAGGGAAGAAGCAACATTAAATTATATGAATAACATAAAAATAATTACTTAAAAATTGAATTAGAATAATCAACGATATTTTAGGGAATATAGTTATATTACATGGCTAGCCTAGATGACTGATTACTATTTTTTTATTTTACTGCAAAGTGGCAAGGTATTTATTAAAAAGAAAAAAAAAAAAAAAAGAAAAAGGTTTAAAAAGATTTTGCGGTAAAATTCTAATATACGTTAAGGCTTTGGCACGAGTTTGAAAATTGTCGCCAAGACCAAAATGACCCGTTTACTGCGCATCAAGATGTCGCCAAATCCATTATTATCTAACCAAAAAGAACGTCTATGTAAAGAAGAAAGGTTCCATACGTTCAAAAAGTAAAATGCTATTACGCCGCTAGAATGCGGAGGGAAATTTTGCCAAGGGATTTGGCGACGGAACCTGGCGGCCAGAATTTCCCTCTCCGCGATGTGTACAGGAAATTGAGAAAACACGTGTTAGAAGAAACGCTTTTTGACAAAAAGAAAACTACGAAAATCCGTTTTTAAATTATTGCGAAAAAATCCAAGAAGAAACGTTTTATCAAAGGACGTTTCTTCTTAGATTTTTCGCAATAATTTTTAAAAACGGATTTTCGTAGTTTTTTTTTTTTTCCCCCTGAAAAAACTAATCCATGAATTAATTTACTTGCGCCAAAAAATATTTTCTTTCCTTTAGAGTTTAACCACTTGCGCTAAGACTAAACTTCACGGTTGCGGTGCCGTGCGCTACAATATAACAAGCCGTAAAGTGTCTCATTTACGCCGCTCCGCATCTGCGAGTGCAATCCAGAGCTGTAACTCGAGAAATAAACAATCTCGTTGTTAGGCGTCGTGTGCACCACGTTATTTTCAGTTTTGCGATAAATGCTTATCGACGTGGTGTTCACAGTCGCTCGCGGTTTGAGACAAAGCATCTTGACGTGCGTGGCACGTCTTTTTAAGCGCAAGTGGTTAAAAAAGAAATTTTAAACGATATTCATTTTATGAACTCTTGATAACGTGACCTTCGAACTTCGACACCGGTTTCGAGCTTTGGCAACAGATATATCAGACATGCACAGCTGTTTTCCCTCTATGATGGAACGGAGCCACAGCCACGTCTGTTGCAGAGAGTTTTTTTCCTTCTTTACAATACATATTCTTTGATTCTAACCTCCTGGTACCGTATACTAGGATTAAACCCATTTTGTTTTATACGAGAACAGGTACTTTCTTTAGTTCATGCATTGCACATGCGATTCTCGAGAATATTGGAAACCAAAAGTTGCGGGAAAGTTGCTTTGCCTTTCTAAAAGACAATCAAATTGGAGCTGCGAAAATTGGCTCTATGCCAGCTACCCGAATGACACTCACGTGATACATAATTCGCCAAAAAAGTTACCTCTTCCGACGTCGGCGCAAAAATCGCTTTTTTTGGCGGGATCGTTGTATGAACTTCCCTGACTTTTCCAGATTTTGACAAAAATACTTAAATTCCCTGACTTTTCCCTGAATATTTTGGTCAATTTTCGAATTCCCTGACTTTTCCCGGTTCTCCAGGTTTTCCAGGTAGCGTGGCAACCCTGATTAACTTCAAGCATCAAACATGTCATTAAAATCGCTACATAATCATTGACTGCCGGGAGACAGACAAATGGAAATAAGACATCTTGATGCCAAATGAAGAACAGGCTGTTGGTATCTAGCATGATGATGAATGTTTAGTTAACCTAATTGTGATAGAATTTCAGTTTGAGAATTTTAATTACTATTTTTACCACTACTTCCTGTAAAGAAATGCAATGTGAATAATGACTCTAAGAATTAAAGATGTGATAATGGTGCTATATGATACAATGTCTGCTATACACCACCATCTAAACCAGCGGTCGTCAACCCTTAGAACTTCACAGACCACTACATATATAATTTTATATTTGGCAGACCATTAATATGAATTTAAAAAAAAAAGGTAAATACATTTATACAATAATAATCAGCAAACTACACATATTTGATTCACATTGAAAAATTACATGAAAAGTACAAAAATCTTACCTTCTCGCATAGAAAGCTTATCATTTCCATATCACTGAAAAGGAACTTCATGAAAAGCAAGAACAAACCGGCAAATGCAAAGCAATATCAATATCAATAAACTGATAGTGTTATGCTCCAAATTTTTAATTTTTGTAAACATAATAATCATTGCTCCCTCAGCAATGACGCCATGGATAAACAGTTAGACAAAACAAAAACTCAAACTTCCAGTGATTTAATTGTAAACAAGAATGCAGATGGTTCTCATAAAAATCCATCAAGTTGCCTATTGACATGAAGAAAAACTGCATCATTAATGACTACAATTGCATAGGTTTGTAATTCAAAAGGAAAGAGGATTCCAGTTTGTGCTATTATTCATAACAGCTGCATATCCATGGATGCCAACTCTCACTTTTAAATGTTGCTAGATACACCTGTAAAAGTAGCTAAAACATCGCTAAATTCAGAAGGAATTTCGCTTAAAGTAGTAGCTAAAATTTAAAAAAAAAAAAAAAAAGTTTAATCCATATTTCATAATAAGTGTTGTTACTTGTCATTTTTAAAACTGAATCTTCATAAAAATACAAATCATGTCCAAATTTTTCTGCAGACCATCAAAAAGTCTTCACGGACCACCAGTTGGCAACCACTGATCTAAAACTAAATACACGGGGTCTTCTTCTAAAGATCTTCTTGCATGTTGGAATTTCAATATGAAAAACACATTCAATGATTTTAAAAGGGTGGCTACAGAGCTTGCAAAAAAGCTGGTGTTTTGGGGCACACCATAAAAGGCAAAGTATGAACATTTCTCAAAAATGGGCTTCAGCATTAAATAATGAAACAGGTAAGGACAAATATATCAGATGCTTCATCTCCAAAAGAAAATTTTTAGAGAGAAAAAAATTTCAACTCACCAATACTCGGAAGAGATGTGCAAAAGCTGAATGGAATGAATAAGAGATTTATTTTATACTCAACCAATGTATATATTGTGAACCAAACTGCAATAATAATGAAAAGCACACCTATTAAGAATATAAGTGTCAAATAATAAAATTTCTCTTACACAGAACTCTGTCAATTGCTAAAGAAATATTTAAATCGCTGACGATCAATTTCAGGAAACTAAATTTGTGTCAAGATTCTTTGAAAGAAAATCATTCAGCAATTGTTACTGATGGGGTTGCAACATTATTTGGGCGAAACAAAGAGGTATCAATACTACTTAAACATCAGTTTCCCAAAATTTTGCTTTTGCAATTCACTAATCTCAATCAGAACTTTCTACGTCAGATGTAAGACACAAAGAATTTCCATCATAAAAAAAAACCACTTCAAATTATTAATTAATAAACTATATTAATAGTGTCACTAGTTCCTTATAAATGCAAGAGAAGAAATTTTAAAAACCAGGAGAATTTTAGATAAGTTGCTTCAAGTTTCGATCAGTTGATAGGCTGTTCAAGAATTAGCAGAATTTAATACAGAATTCCAGGCTCATGATAACACATTTTATTTTGCTTGAAGAAAAATAAAAAGTCAAATTCGGAATGTTTTTCACAGGAGATTAAGCAATACATTAATTGGAAATTAATATCACCTAGTAAATTTTTAAGGTAGTTTGATAGTGAAACAGAAATAATAAATTTGTGGGAAAGATTCAGACTGTCCAATGCACATCAATAGCATCTTTCAGAAAAGACTACCTCGTCTACTATGCCTCTTTTAAATGCAATTAAGAATATCAGAAATTCAAGTAGTCACTATGAAATTAATGTGTGAAAACCACACTGTAATCTGTATTTAACTGGGTTGTCAGAGATGAATTTAGAAGTAACTCCAGTAAGTGCTTTACTGTATTTAAGGACTGTCAGATTTAATATTCATAAAATCAACAGGCCTTTTTTTGAATCTCTCAGCTGGTTTTTAAAAGTACAAGATAAACATCAAAAGCAGACGAATCAAGATGATATTAGGGAACATAATCTCAAGCCAATCTGTAAGTCATTATGAACTATATGACGGGTAATGTTGATCAAATCTTTTGTCCACTCATACATTTTTTCCTTCCCGATTTGAAATATGAAATGCTGATTACTTGAGAAATATGGGTACTTTTCCGTTTTGCCGGCACAAGCGATAAAGTCGCCAGTAATGGTACAACCAATGCCAAATGAAATATCCTCGTTGGTAACTTTAACATTTACAAAACAAGTCACAGCCATTTCTTATCAGATTGATTGTTTCTTTCAATACTGACATAGAATTTTCATCAGGTAGTTCAATTTTATGCCCTAAGGCCATTTGCGGAAGGTAATTAAGTCAATTAAGATGCAACCTCACTGCTCACCCAATGGCAAAATATAGAAAAGCCAAAGTCAAGGGTTAAATTTATCAATCCTAATGAGAATGCACTAGCGAAGTAAAGGACTGCAGTTTTAATTTCTGAGTAAGATATTTGTACCAATTGAAATAATTCTTGCATTTAAACTTGTATTCCAAATTAAGATTTAACTTGAAATTAATGTAGATAATTACTGAGAGAATTAGATTTTTGTAGCGTAGTTTATGCGAGATAAGATCACTTGGGGTCATGTGATATGAACCGGTGAATCAGGATGTTGTATGATGAAAGCATAGTAAATTCTTAAATTGTCTTTTTACAAATTTATTGGCTTTTTTACAAAATTTTAAATGACATTAAAATCTTTATACTTTCAAAATAAAAATTCTTAGAACTAACATTTGTCAACACTTTTTTATGTGTACACTGTGTGTTTTCGCCAAGTCTACTTGGCGAGATTTGCAATGGCAAAACGGAAAAGTACTCAAATGTGTAACATAGAGTTAGAAACATCTTTTATTAAAACAATCATGGTGCAAATCTTCATAAAAATTATCAATTGGATATAGCGTACATTAAAATATATTTAAAACTGGAATGGTCAAGAAATGCATTTAATGCTTACATTTTGCTCAAATTCCTGGGAAGTTATAAACTAAATAACTTTAATGGATAAATTAAAAGATATTGCATTCAAGGCAATGCTAAATGGGTTCTATACAAACCAAGGTGCAAGATAAATACCCCCCCTGCAAAAAATTATCTTCTGTGCAGTAACAACAACTTTCCCAAGAAAGCAGATAAGATAAGAATGGCTGAATAACATAATGATCCTGCTAAATAAGTTTCTACTATACAAAATACTTCACACTTTAATGACACTTTTCATTTCCAAGAACATTCCCAAAATTTCAGAAATCACACTTTTGAAAAAGAGAAATGACTAATTCTTCAGTAAGACAAATAAGCAAACAAGTTTTTACTATTAACTTACTGCTGATGTGAATAATTTTGCTGATTACGCAAAGGCAACCTTGGAAGTCTCGGTTGTTGCTGACGCTGTTGTGGGGACTTCTGTGCTTGATGATGATGATGGTGGTGATGTCTATGATGATGCTGCTGGTATCCATTTCCATTCCGTATATAACCGTCATTCCATTCACCATTTCCTTCATTATTACGATTACGCCTTTCCTCACGCTTTGCAAAATGAACAATTTATTAACTACAGATAATCATTATCAAAAGCTTCAACTTCATGAAACAGCATTTTAAATAAATCTTTTTTTTAAAGCACAATATCAGATAAAATAAATTTGATAGCGTACTTTTCCACTACGATGTGTAGCAGCTCTCTGAATTTGGCGTAAAGTATCAGCATATTCTTCCATTTGAGGAGATGGTCCACTAGGAGAATGCATTCGATGCATATCATCTACTGTCGAATCCGAAGGGGTTCGACTAAAGCCTTTATTACGAGAAGATCTAGAATACTGTTCCCTGTAAATTGATGGAAAAAATTTACATAAAATCCATGTTCAAATTAATTTGTCAATTACCCATATTTACTGTAAGTCATACATAGATTTAGTTATGCTTATAATTTTTTTGTATCTGTTCTTGCTATATAATAAATTGCTTAGTGATACAGCTAAAAGTAATTTATGAAAGCAATTATGTGATTCCTGCCATTAATTATAATGTCAAAAAAATTGTTAAAAGTATTTTGATTTGATCTTTATAATAAATTTCTTATTTTACAAATAAAAATTTTTAAACTCAGAAAACAAAAAAAAAATTAAAAATCTGAAGTACTTTTTCAATAATTTTAAATGTTTGAGATAAAAAAATATACAAATGAGTGACAATGATTCTGATGCAAAATCTAATTCTGATGTATCCCTAATTGTACAAAATTTTTCTGATCCAAAATTTCTTTGTTATTAAATTACTGTATCTTTTTCTGTGTCATAATTTTAAAGAAATCAAAAGAGAAATACAAAGTATTTTTACATAAAAATATTTCAAATAAACACCATACTTAAGACTAGTTTATGGAATATTTAACCTTTTTAATTGCTGTAATTGATTACTAAGAGATGAATTAGTTTTCATAGCATCCTTCAGAGCCCCTCGCAATCTCCGAATTTCTTTCTCAAGTTTTTCTATTTTATCTTTTTGTTCTTCTGATGTATCTACAATAATAAAATTTGTTAACTACAATATTAAAAATATATATATATAATTTCACATAAAAGCTTGAAAACTAAAACTTCTTTTATGCATATAAAAGTGTAAATTCACATTAAAAATAATTTCAGATATAATCAAATACACAATATAACAAAATGTTTTCAAATATGCAGAATACAAAGCAATAAAAAATACATAATAATTCCTTATTTTTTTAGATGCTCAGTTTTTTTACCCCTAAAAATAACATGAAATTTACCTTTTTCCACATTTTTCTCCACACATTCCTTCGGCAGAGCAGGCATACCAGTAACAAGTTCAAACAGCAGTTCTGGAGGAGGGAGAAGAAGATTACAGCTATTTTATTACAATTGGTTAAATTTATCTTAATATAAAATTAGCACAATGTATACTACAATACTAAATGATGAACAACTTTTAATACTTCCATTTAGCATATCTGATTACAATGCATATTTAAAGAAATGTAAGACACTTTGAGTTATAGTTCTTAATCATTACAATAATATTAGACTGTTACATTATTTCTAAATTATTATTTGCATACAACTCATTCAGCATGACATATAAACAACTAAGCTATATTTAAAAAAATTACACCATGGTCAACTACTGATATAAAAAATTATGAAAGGAAATAAAGATTTGTTTTTTATAACCAAAACCAACCCCAAATGGATGAATTAATATTTTAATGAAAGAATTCCAATGAGGTATTATTATCAACAGCTTTGATTAGTTTTACTTTTTGTTTGATTAGCAGCTTGCTTTTCTGGTTATGGTACACATGGAAATAAGACCTTATTAATGAGTTTTTATCTTCAAGAAAAAATTTTAAAAAATTATATGAAAACAATGAAAGAAATTTAAAAGAAAGAGCTTTATGAACTTAATAATTGATATTTATCATATTACATAAAATATTTTTTAAAGAAAACTATCAGCTGAATAATCAATTTTGTTTGGCCTAAGAACAATTTACACAGCTATATTTAATTTTGCTTATTATGGTACACAATTATGAAAAATTTTAATTATACCATTTATTTGCCAGTCTATATTTTTCAGTATATATAACTAATGTCTGGACTATTAAAATTACATTACTGTAATTCAGACTTTTACGTGCAAAGTCAAGAAAAAATGTACATATGCAAACTGAAATTATTTTAAATATGATTTTCAATAGACTAGAGTTAAACAAACCTCATACAGCATAATCTGAATATTAAATAAGGACAAGGGTGTTTTTCTAGGGATATGTAGGGGTATGCATACTCTTAAACATTTGTAAAATTAATGGGACAAAGTAAAAATTATAAAATATTGGAGCTTCCAATAAACTAACACATTATGGATACTTTTAAGAATTTTTTTTTACTCTCTTCAGTTCATTTCGAATTAGAGCAACTTTTATTTTAATAGCGAAATATGCTAAATCAGAAATGAGCAAACATTTGCTGGTCAAAGGCAAATTAAAAGAATATTTATTTATATATAACATATACATCTCCTTTTCTACTTTAATAATTTTTTTAAATATAATTTTTTTCTTCGTATTTTTCAAAGGACTGATGATCTTTTAACTTTCTCTATTTTTGTTCTACAAAACATAAATCAACAGAAATAGCAAGCATAGACAGCTTTCAATCGGTAGTGTTTTTAAAGCAGTTCTTTGTTAGTTATAGCTGTAGATTAGCACCAACAAGTGATATTTTTATCTAGGGTAGCAGACATATGGGAATCCAGTACAGTCAAAAGTCGTTAATTCGGACCTCAAAGCTACAAACTTTCTGCGCGACCTTTACGTCTGCAAATATGCATGTGCGCATGCGCATAATATGTTTACACTTGTGTGTTTAATGTACAATGGACGGTATAAGCTAAGCTAAAATTATCTAATTCAGTTAATGTTGCAGATTGCGTTGTTCCTTAATCTTCGAATTGGATCCGGCTTATTATTTTTTGCAGACTGTTAGAGCAATTTTATAAAAGCAAGCTTGAACTTTCGATTATGTCAAATAGAATTTCCGATATATATTTACTAATATGTAAAGGATCTACAAAGCGAAAGTATGTTTCGAAGTCCATTAAACAAAAAGTGGAATTGCTGCAAAAAATGGATAAAGGCATATTCTTCATTTCTCTATCAATTTCACACTGCTCTGCGGCGGGAAGGGGGAAGGGAGAACGCCGCGGCGTGCAATGAATTGGAAGTTAATCTGTCAGCACTATCCTTATCTTCAGGGCAGATGTTTTTATTTTATTTGGCTTATAATTCCTTACTAAATGTAGTATTTCATCTCGATGTACTCCGTCTTTGATATGATTTAAATCAAATTCCTCGTCATTATAATTCACTTCCGATAAAGAAAAAAGTGACGCAGAGGTTATTGAAAACAAAAAAATTTCAGGTGACAAATTAGTCGGTATTCTCGACACAGCAATTATAGGACTTGAACAGCGGAGCTTTGCAACTGAAGAAGAAATTATGTCTGTTTATAGAATTAAAGAGAAAGTATTATCACATAAAACGAAGCAACTTAAACAACTTACATTGAAAGAAATGTTTAATAAAGTAACCAAATAAATATTTTTTTTTTTAGTGTAAATTTTGATACTCTTTAGATCATAATTGTTCTTTATTTCATTAATTACGGTTTCATATTTTTAGTTTTATAATTTCTGCATGCCATCTTACCAGATTTAAACTGATAATCTATAATCCGGAAAAATCGATAATCCCGACAAGTTCGGATTAACGACTTTTGACTGTATAAATGAATTAGACCTCATGTGTGGCAGACTGCACATTTTAAGCTCCAGCCAGCGGCCTTTTTCTTTTGGTGCAAGTTCTAATATTATTGATTGCGTACGGAAAGATTGCAGAGATATAGCATCATTGTGAATAGTGGTGAAATTAACTAAAAGTATAGCATATCTAGTGCTTTTTGGGTTATTCATAAAATATTTCAACCCCAAAATGGCTACTGAAAAACATAAAGTTGATTCAGAGTGACGTGCTTTTAATGATGAATGGATCTAGAAATATTTTTTTACAGTTGTAAAAGATAAACCAGTGTGTCTGCAGTGAAGCTGTAGTAGTCTTAAAAGAATATAACATTTCCCGTCATTTCACATCTAAGCATCAGAAAATTTCAATTACGAAGCAAGTCCGAATATGAAAGAAAACACAATGCAGAAGTCTTTGTAAAAAGTTATCAGGCCAACAAAATTTTTTTAAGAAGGTAAAAGCTCTCAGTGATGAGGATTCGTTAAACAATGCATGCTCTAAGTTTGTGATGTTTTATGTCCAGACAAGAAAAATAATTTTCAAAATGTAAGCTTATCTCGAAAAGCGGCGACTTGATAAAAATTTGACATCACAATTAGAGTCAAAGATAGGACAGTTTAAATTTTGCTCCATAGCTATGGATGAAAGCACTGATATAAATGATACTGCTCAATTAGTGTTATTTATAAGAGGTATTGATGAGAACTTAAATTACTGAGGAATTGGCTTGCATGTGTTCTTTAAAAAAGAACTACAATAGGATGTGATATTTTTCATGAATTTCAAGAAGAGCTTTTAACTTTGAAATAGCCTATCTATGTAAGAATCTCTTACACAGATGAAACCCGTGCTTGATGCAGTCGTGAAGCTTGCAAATACTATTTGATCTTGTGGGCTTACTCACAGGCAATTTCGAGATTTTCTTCAGTCCGTTCAAACTTAATAGTCTAATTTACTACTGTTCTACACAAAAGTGTGGCGGCTTAGTGCAAAATGCGTTTTTGAGCGAGTTTGGCAGCTGAAAGATAATTTTGTATCGTTCTTCCATGAGAAACAGTGTTCTGCGGAGTGCAAAATGTTAGAAGATATAGAATGGCTTTCGGACTTCTTGTCTCATTTCCCGAGGTTAAATTCAATACTCTCAATAAATGAAGAGAAGCTTAAGAATTATAAAGATGGCTTGAGAAAACTGCATTTTGAGTTCAAACACAGATTTCAGTGCCATTTGAACAGAACTGGATATTTTTACCATGTCTTTCAATGTAAATTGTGAAGCAGTGAGGTCAGTTTTGCAGCTAGAATTAACTGAGTTGCAATCTAACAATCATCTCAAGCAATTGTTTTTAAATATGCCAAAGTTAGAGTTTTACAAATCATTATCGAAAGTTAAGTTTCCCAAATTTAATATCTCACGACCAGAAAATCAATGCTATGTTTGCTTCATCTTATACATGTGAACAAGTGTTTCAACTATGAACCTTAGAACTAGTGTTTTCAACTATGCGAAAGAGTGTTTTCAATTATGAACCTTAGAAAGAATTATTTCAGAAGTAGACAGAGATGAGCGTTTAGCCTTGTTCTTGAAAATTAGTACATTTCACTTCGAGCCTCAATATAAGAAACTTTTTTAAATGAAATCGCAATTTCATTCATCTTGTTAACATATTGAAATTGTAATACAGTCAAAAATCTTTAATCCGGATGTCCATAATCCGGAATGATCTATTATCCAGACCTCAAAGCTACAAACTTTCTGCGCATGCGTAAATGCATTGTGTGTTTACGCATGCACATAATACCTTTACACATGCGCATAATACGTTTATGCATGAGCATTTAATGTATAACGGACGGTATAAGCTAAAATTATTTAATTATCTATTTCAGTTAATGTTGCAGATTGCGTTGTTTCTTAATCTTCGAACTGGATCCGGCTTATTATTTTTTGCAGACCGTTAGAGCAATTTTATAAAAGTAAGCTTGAACTTTCGATTATGTCTGTGACGCCATCCATTGCCCGCCATAAGAGGGCACTGTTTAATCTTGCTAGTTTTTCTGTATCATAATATATGTTAGTGAGTAGGAATAAAATGTGTAGTCGTGAAAGGTAGCATCGATCTTTTGATGAGTGTGGAGTTCAATTTCTGCCCCCTTCACAAACGAGGTAAACATTTTTTGGTGTCAGGAAGTGGAGTTAGGTGAGAATGTGATGGTAATAATGTGTATAATCGAATTTTGTGAGAAAAAATAGTGTGGCGATATGGGAATATGTGTTGCGCAGAAATCGAAAGTGAAGGCGTTCCATCGTGTAGATTGTGGTGAGTAATTTTGGTTTGTTGTAATAATATTTAGTGTTAAATTCTGTTTATTAGTGATGTGTATTGAGGTGTTCCTACTTGATAATCTGAGTTGATAGTGTCTGTGTTGAGTTTGATTGTATTCATTTTTGTACTCATTGTGTTCTAGTTGTCAATTCAAGGTTGTATTTTTCTTTGAATTAAGATGAGTCTGAAGTCGCTTAAGTCATTAAAAAAAGACAAGT